TAGAACAATGCTAGTCAACACCAATAACATACAGCGATGGTCAGACTGTTAACACATGGATTTAAAAAAAAATACAATATTCAATGGTATCTTATAAAAATAAATAAATGATAATTTTAAAATTTTAGGTAACTTTAATAGATAAAACAATATATAATTACTAAGTTTCGTGATTTAAAAAAGTGGTATTTAGTGCAAATTATACCTAACTCATATAAATAACCGCTACCATTGACACATTCTGATGATGATCATAAGAGGTTTGTCCAGTTTTAAAATGGTGTAGTATAAAAAATTACTTTCTTACGTTTGACCACCGAAAATATTAAAATGTTTATTAATGTGTACTATATAGAGTTGACTATATAAATAGCCACATTTAAATAAAACACTTTAACGGTTTAAAACGCGATATATTAGTTAAACTTATTTGGAAATGATTTTTAACTTCGGCCCGACGTTTCGGATGCTTTGCAGCAGCCGTGGTCACGGGGAAACTAATATATCGCGTTTTAAACCGTTAAAGTGTTTTATTTAAATGTGTACTACTCGCGTAAACTATAGACAGTATTTATATAGCCACAGATAATATTATAAATCTACAATCGATGGTAGCAATTACTCGGCGGTTAGTTCTAATCGATTATCTAACAACGATTAATCAAATGCACCGGACGATGTATCGATTCATCACATCACTCGGTCTCGATTTGTCTTGCGAAATCGATGCTTGACTGGTATTTCATCATCGTCATGCTGAGATTGATTGCAATAGAGCCGCTTGAAATTAACTTACTGCTTACTGAGTGAAATAGTAAGTAATTAGGGCCAGTAGTGGTAATCGATAGCCTAACAATTGGTGCAGAACTGCATTCTATGGATTAACTTGCAGGATTTATTACTAGGCCAAGATTGTTGATTTATTTAAATGTCAAAAATGATTTATTAATGTAGGTACACTCGTGAACGTCTCACCAGTTAAAACCTAAAGATTATAAATTTTTACGGCATTTAAGGGCATAGAACTAACGGGAAAATCTGGCAAGAAGGTCGTTTGTTGTTTTTTTAATAGGTCTAATAAAAAGGGGAATTTAAATTGTCCAAAAATTTAATGTCTGTCGTAACAATATATTGTTTTTTTTTGTATCATGCAAACAAAGCAGCATAGAAATGTTTGTAATAAAATAGGACAACTATACAGAATATAAATATAAATCTCATATAACATGATATACTGCATTTCGACGACATTTATTAAAATATTGTCTGTAGTTAATGCTGGAGTACAAAGACATATGTAAACGTGCGAAACTAACATATATTTCGCGTTTTAAACCGTCAAATGTTTCATTTAAAGTATTTAGAAGTGGGATCATGTTTCAATTTTAAGAAGTGAAATTTTACGTGTAATTCGTTGTTTCTAGCAACAAGGTTACGACCGAGAAACTTTAAAACTGTGTTTTGGTAATATTCTACGGAGCTAGGCACGGTATTGTGCAATCAACCCATCTATTGACTGTCGGCATCGACTTTACTCCAAACAATATAGGATTCCGTAGATATAACAGAATTTGCTTATAGCATCCGTTTTTCATTCAATGTTCCCAACTGTTCTTTTTTATATTCTTCTATTCTAGTCGAATGAGAGGAAAGACACGTTTTAAATTTGAAGGAATTATAGTAACTATAATCATGCAAGGCACAAAAGTCTACATACATTATTAAGATTGAAAAAAAATTTGCGACTCGGTCGAGACTTGAACCGGCATCTACAGCGTTCCGTGCTGCTGCTCTACCCAGTTGCTCTATCGTTACCATTGGTTAGAGCACTGACTGTTGTTTATGTCGCAACCTTTGTTTTTTTTTTAACTAAATCCATTTTTAATTTATATAACGCTATCATGTGGAATATACGTACATACGTAATATGTGGAACATATCAAAAATTGCTGTTAGAGCCAGAGTGGCCTAATAGCAAGGCGCATGATTTTCAATAAGGAGGAATATAAAAATGCGCAATTTACTTAGGCGAAAATGAATTTGTACCATTATTTGTGTAAAAATTTAAATACTAACAATTTTCGGTCACTGTGATCTTGTATATTAATATTTTTGGACTATAAAAATATTAATAAGTCAATTCATAAAATTGCAGTTAGGCTACTCTGACTCTAACGGCCTGATATTTTGATTTTTAGTACTTAAAGCATTGTTTGATTAATAATTTTGTCAGATAATGTTTAACTTCGTAAAATCGATCGCTCGTTCATCACTTATTCAATCTTCTTCGCTTAAAATGTCTTTTATAAAGTATATTATAAGTTATATATGTAAAGTTATGAAGTCACACGAGATTTGAAAACCCTAACTAAACTTTTACGAAGTTCACATACGGAACCGCGATTTTCGCTTCGCTCCGCACTTAGCCAGAACTTTTCAGTTTTGCCATAATGTAATGTATTGATTTATTTTTTTCTTTTTTCAGCGGGTTAACTCCCCTGATGTTAGTCGCTCGTACCACGCTGTGTTCGGCGGTTTTTCTTGTAAGCCGGTGGCATGTGACACAGTTTTGTCAAAGGAAAAACAAGATAGATTCGATATTGCATGTTATCGTTGATTTCTTTTTATAAAGAGATCGGTAAGATATTTTTAACGGGCTAAAGGACTACCTAACATCCGTATAAAAGAACTTATTTTAGTCTTAAACGTGAAATATAATAGTTTACTTATGTTTGGATCTATTTTAAATATAACGCGTCGTTTTGGCTTCGACGATACGTCGGATCGTAGTTAAAATAAAACAAAATAGGTAACTTAATTAAACAAAATATTAATAATATACGTGCATAAGTTAACTGAAGTAAATACTTAGTATAGAACTAGAGTTTGCCCGTTTAATCTAAACTAATATTGTGTGTCCTTATCTAAACAAGTACTACGAGACATCTGGGACTGATTAAATAAATATCTAAACTCGGTGTGTTCAAATTTAATCAAAACTACCCTATCACAGAGACACATCGTATTGAATTACAAAGGCAAGTATGCAAACATTTGTCACTTTACAACGACAAGGCTAGACCGATCTTGATAGGATTTAGTGAAGGTACATATAGGTTACAATCTAAAATTCGTTTTAAAAAGTTCATTTCCAGTTGAATTAAATTAAAAAGTAACCGATTATATTTTGGTGTTTAAACCGTTAAAAGTGTTTTATTTACATATGTAGTACTTGCATCTACTACAGGCAAGTTTTAAGTTTGTAGGAATTATAATAACTATAATCATGCAAGGCACAAAAGCCTACATGCATTATTAAAATTGAAAAAAATTTGCGACTCGGTCGAGACTTGAACCGGCATTAGTCAATTGCTCTATCGTTACCATTGGTTAGAGCACTGAACGGTGTTTAAGTCGCAACCGTGTTTATTTTAAACTAAAAAAACTAATTTTAAAGAAAAAAAAACCTTACATTTGAAAAAGATGATAAGTAGATAAGTAGATTAAAAATCGAAAATCTAAAATAATTTTCTCAATTTAAATGTTACTTAAACTTTTAAATAAAACATCCGAAACGTCGGGCCGAAGTTAAAAATCATTTTCAAATAAGTTTAACTAATATATCGCGTTTTAAACCGTTAAAGTGTTTTATTTAAATGTGTACTACTCGCGTAAAGTGTAAACTATAGACAATATTTAAACTTTAACTTTAAAAAAATTGAATCTCGCGAAATAATCGTATCTCTATTGTTTATTGTGTAGTTAATTAAATATTTGAGAAAGAAAAATGTATTTACCATAGTAGGCCAAAGTTAACCCTCTGATGACTCAATAACCAAGGCAACTTGAAAGCATACTGTCTTAGTCTTGTAACAAAACGCCTTCGTGCCCATAAACATCTGTGAAATACACAATTAAAGATACCTCGACCATTATAAGAATTAATAAATTCCATGAAACATTTAAATCTAACAACAAACGTTTTATAAACTTTCTGCTTAACCCCTTCGAAACAAGTAATTTTATAATTTAAGCAATTTATTTCAAAGGGCCTTTGTGGTTAGAATTGGTGCCCTTGGGTTCTTTCGAGATTTCACTTATTCAAAAGATTTTAATGTATCTCTCTCTTTGGATCCACTTTAAACGGCCGATTTGATTTTCTTTCAAGTTTATTACTTCCTTTGAAAAAAATCAACTTAATATCAACCTTTCTTGAAAGACTTAACTTAAAAAAATAAATTTAGAACACAAATCGATCAGGTATCAAAGGTATAGCCCCAGCCATATCTTGACAAGATGCACTGTCGAATTATTTTGGCTTTAGATATACGTTATTAAAATTACATATTTTTATTAAAAATTATTTAACCACATTCTATTAAAGAAACTGTAAAATAAAAAAAAAACATAACCATAAACAATTCTAGACCAGGACAGAATATATACATTTAACATAGACTATTGAGTCTATGGTAATTATACGTGTCTGTATTTATGCCAAATGTTAATTTGACGTTTCGACGTTATTTACATTTCAAAGTTTATGATATTGAAGTATAATTATTTGATTTTTAGTTCTTTCTATTGGAAGTTTAATGTAATAAGTTATTTAAATTATATACTATCGGGTAGGAAAAAAAATTATTTTTATTTTTTTCCTTTCAATAGAGCTTTAACGGAAAGACAAACACCTCTCGCGCTTAACGCAATCCTAGGTAACTAGGTCTAGTCTAGTAGACTAGGTCTTAGATTCGAAACTCGTTCAGTCTTAGTTTCAGTGTTATTTTTTAAATAGATTTCCATAGTCTAAATAAAAACGTTGCGTAAAGGCAAGAGATCTTTTTCGAAAATCGATTATTAATATCGATATTTTTCATTTAGTTTGCCGTACCTCGAGACATGTTTTTCACGTAACTACATACATAAAGAGAAATTTAAATGTTTAATTAATTTTATTAAGTTACTGCAGATTTATTTGTTTAATATTTTTAGTATAAATCATGGCAAAAAGTACAGAAGCGGAACAGTTGGAGAAGATGAAAGCTTTGGAGACCAGGATCAAGGCTCCATCAATTTGGGGGCGCGTACCGTGTGGGATACGCTTTGAAGACCTTCAGGATCGCAGGTACGAAGACGCAGTCAGGTTACTGAAGAAGCACTATCTAACTGAGGAAGTAAGCTTTATTTCTATTCAAAAAGAGCTTTTTATTTATTTTTTAGACATTTCCGTTTTAAAAATCTAGTAGTATTTTGCAAGTGCCACTAGATTTTTAAATATAAATATATCATATTTTAAAAAAATCTAGTAATTAGCTTAAATATTTAAAAATTACTTTAATTTAATAAATACTTTTAGTAAAGCTTGTGGCATGGGACTTTACACGAGTAGTACTCATTTAAATAAAACACTGTTAACGCTGTGAAATTAGTTAACTTAGTTATTAGTAGCCGTAGTTCAATAGTAAATAAGTTACTTATACATTTCGCGTGTACTTATATATTTAAATATATGTTACAATGTATATAACAAGTACAATATATTTTAATTAAACTGCCAATCGTATTAACAGGTTGTCGATACCCAAACATAGGTAATACTTTACCTATAATAAATAATAGAATATATAGTAGAAGTACATTTATTAATCTCTACAATTTATAAACCGGACTGAATACCTTTTGTGAGAGCAATCAAAAAATTCCAATTATAACGCGAAATATTTAATCAAAGGGAAGAGGGAAAAATGGATTGTCCATTGAAACGGTAATTTGCTTAATTGAGATACTTTAAGACTCGCGAACAATAGGGATAATGGGATTTTTGGAATCTCCTGAAACGATTAAACCCTAACAACTTTATATTCGGTTCTGTTTATACAGTTACTGGTATGTATGGAAAACCGTAATGTATAAATAAAACACTTTAACGGTTTAAAACGCGATATATTAGTTAAACTTATTTGAAAATGATTTTTAACTTCGGCCCGACGTTTCTCCCCGTCTCCCCGTGACCACGGCTGCTGCAAAGCATCCGAAACGTCGGGCCGAAGTTAAAAATCATTTTCAAATAAGTTTAACTAATATATCGCGTTTTAAACCGTTAAAGTGTTTTATTTAAATGTGTACTACTCGCGTAAACTATAGACAGTATTTAACCGTAATGTAAATCTATTCTGCCACATCGTCACACACACACACAGCTATATATATATATAAAGCTGAAGAGATTGTTTGTTTGTTGAGAACTACCAGTTCGAATTGATTTTGTTTTGTGTTGGTTAAAGCATTTATTAAGGAAGGCTATATAGTGCTATGACTGATAGGAGAGAAGAAACGCGAAATGTGGATAAAACGGGGGAAATTATGCATCTCTGTGGGTTTCCGATGCGTACGCTGTGAAAACGGTTCAAGACACACAAAAAATATGTACGAAAGTATGATGCCTCTTTAAATTATCTAAAAAAAATGTCCACGATAGTGTATGTCTATCTTTTAAGATTTCCTTGCAAGACGGACTCGAGCTACTGTACGCGACCGATGTCGTGGGCAGCTTAAATTTATAAAAATGTAGAGATTTCCAAAAACAAATTTGGATGCCCAAAATAATTGTACCACGCGGACGAGGTCGCTGACACAGCTAGCAATATATGTTATGCTAAAAATAAAGTAATATTTATTAAATAATTTTGTAGGCCTATTTCCTTAAAATTTTAAAAGAACTAGCCACATAATTATTTTATGAATAAGATTCATATGAAATTATGTAAGGCTTTCACGGCCATCGTTAAAATATAAAAGATTTATAATTCAACATCAAAAGTCGATTATGAGCAGCTATCTTATGTTTGAGCTTATATTATTTGTATTGTTAAGAACTTTACACCTAGTTGAGTTGTGACTGTCATTGGGGATTTGTCGATGAAGACGAGGGACTTTAGGAGACTCCTCAACGGTTCACAATAGCTACATTGAGTCTTGAACTTAATTTGTTTATATTGATAATAGTCTAACCATCGGGCAATATCGTTTAATAAATTCACAATTATAATAAATATTTGTTAAGTGATGTTTAATAAAAAATACGCATTATTCAGTGCGAAGTAAATTATAAATCTAATTTTCTAGAACATAAACACAATACTATTAATACATTTTTTTCTAAACTTTACTCAAAGTAGTCAGTAACCTCAATATATACAACGATGAATGAAATAAACTTCATATACAATTAAGTATTTAACAAGTATACACTTCACACGATTACTTAAAGCTTTTGCACCTGTACACGAGTGTTTAGTTTGTAGGCTTTTATACTTAACAGCTCCGAGGCATTCAAGCCGAGGGAAAGCCAGACTTATAAACGTAGTTTGGTATGTTATGTTCATAGTGGGCTTAGATCATTAGTTACGTATGACATAAACTTAAGTCTTGTATGGATTAAAGCGATAGTTAATAAGTTAATGTATCCATTAAATTAATGCGTCTAACGTGTAAAAATAGTTTTGTGTACGCGAGTTGAGATTAATATGAGACGCTTTAAACGGTTTAAAACGCGAAATTTATTAGCATTGGTTGCTGCAAAGCACCTGGAGCGTATTATATTCACGGTGGTGATATTGACAATACTCTAAAATCCTTCTTACATGCGGGCGTTATTCTTTAATGTTGTCAGTCACAAAAACGCAGCACCCAAAAGTGTCTGAAAGCGCGCTTTACCTACCTTCGTTTGGCCGTCTTATTGAAAGAGAATAAAAGTACCCCCCAAATTATTATTTTAATCCGAACATATATAATTTATATATAAATAACGTGTAAAAAAAGTATAAAATTTCGAAAATATTTGTATTATTAGTTACGTTGTTTGTTTTATCAGCACTGTTACCTTCATGGTGGAAAGTTACTTAGTAATGTGTTAAAAATTGTCTAGATTATGTGCGTTTACCTTAAAAACATTTAAGTAGAGCTGATTTAAAATAAACTATTTCCCAAATATAAACTTTTCGATACTTCAATGCACATTGCTTCAGATTACATATAGATCAGTTAAAATAGCGGACGATAAAGAAGGCACCGACGAGTTCATCCACCAGGCCAGGATCTGGATGAAGGACAAAATGTCGCTGGCTGCAGTCAAGGAAGGCACAGATAAATTAGTCGGCGTACTCATTATGAGAATACAGGAAAAACGTTAGTTAAAACCCTTTATTTTAATCTTAAGCTTTTTCACAACCAAATAATGATTTCTACAAAAATAATCATCAACTAAAGTGTGTGTATATCTGTTATTGCTTAAGACGAGAGAAGCAAAAATATATAGTAAAGATGTGAACTTCTATCCATTTTAATTTAGAACAAGTTTTACGACATACGAGTATGTGGTTACTTGATGGTAGGTTAAATATCCCAGCCATATAACATCTAACCAAGATGTGTTGCCTACGTATTTTGGATTTGGATATATGGAAACACACGAACGAAGTGCAACATGTTATAGAAAATTGTAAATTGATTTGAAACATGCTGGACCCGACGGCGCTCGATCCCACGACCCGTTGAGCCCGTCAAATCCATTTATAATTACCATTTTAGTATCTAAGTACACGTATCTAATAATCTTCAACGCAATAAAAACTAAGTAAAAAAATTTTGCGACCGATACGATGTCCGATATTGAGAAGCGAATTTTTGGCAAGTATTTTTAAAACGAATTGTACTCATACAATAACAAACCGCGGGGAAATACGATCAAAACTCGATTCGGATAGCTATTTGAAATCTATTTGCCTACCTATCGATGCCGTATCGATTCAAATAAAACTCGATTTTCCTGTATCGTTGGCCGTAACATTAGGGAGTGGATTCCTTGGATGTTTTGAGCCTAAATTTTTACAGCAACCGTAAAAAGAATTCCGATTCAGCTTACAGTTTTATGTCGAGTGTTTTTAACGAGATTTAGCGATTTTTCTATTTTTGCTTTGTAACGCAACGATAAAGTTATCTTAAGACTAACATAAACTAAAGACTATCTGCAAATATGTATTAATATAGGTATCCACGAATTGTAACATAAAACGTAGCAAGACACCGAACTTGCTCATGTTAGTAAATATATAATTCGTGTCGTGCTTATAAAGAAAAAAATTAGGTACTACTATGTAATAGTTTATAAAATAAATTACGTAATAAAATGGTATTAAAAAATATAAGTATAATATTTCACTGGTAAGAAAGTTTTTCAGTCTCTATTTCTTACAACATGGACCAAACATTTTGTAAGCAAATTGGATTTCACGTAGTCTCTTGGAGTCTGTATTAGCCGACCCGCTGAAAACGTAAGGTTTTTCTATTGCCTAAAACCTAAGTCATTTTAAAATAACGGAGAATAAAATCACATTTAAAAATATATAGATGAATATAAATTCTGAGTATAATGCGTATAATATAGTTTATTATTCTATACTAATTCGAAAATCCGACCAGGTCACGAACCACCGTCCACAGGTGAAGAAGATTTGATTTCAGTCTGTGGATTTTAATATATCCAAAGCCAATATACTGTCAATTGTTTTAGTTTTATATGGCTCAGATATTCGTTATCTTTTATCAAGTCTCTTGTCTTATCTAGTCTGTTTTTCTCTATTTTAAAAAGGCCTCATAAAAAATTATTATATGTAAATTATAATTTACGGAAACTCGTCGTGGGTCGATGGGTTTCAGAATATCGGTAGAATATGCGTATAGGTACGTAACCTATCTTTAAATAATTACAGAAGCTTATTCACGCACGTTCAGCCGTGTGAAAATCACGTACAACCCGTTGTATTCTACGGTAGTAACGTTCAACAATGAAGTGCAGAAGCCGGTGAATCTCTTCGAGAAACTCGGTGTGAGACGGTATTTCAAGATCTACGTGCTTGCGCTCAAGGCCAGGTATCGACATCGGGGTGAGCTAGTTTTATTGACACATAGAATATATCAAGAGACGAACAAAGGATATTAGAGAATGTCAACATATATTAAATTTACGATTAGAACTTTTCTTTTTCATTTTTTATTGTATTGACGCTGTTAATCATACCATCATTTTACAACAACCATCAAAAATGTCATCGCTTGGATAAGTAACGCGCGACGTCTCCTAATGATGTCGTCACTCGTCTACGACGCAATGACGAAGCGTCGACAACAATTTTTGAATGAGGACGCAAAGTTAATCTAATGTGATTTAATTTATAGCAGCCATAGTTTTATAAAAACGTAGCATACTTATATAAGCATCCCACACATCGGATCGTAGTAAAAAATAATAATGTTCTCATTTGAAACTGTTAAAAGTGTTTTATTTATATGTAAAGTTATGAAATATCACTTTCAGGTGTATCAAAGGATATGCTTAAAGCAGCCATAAGTCTTAGCACAGCGGCTAATGTACCAGCTATAGCTGGTATCTTCACGACAGGTCGTGGCCAACAGATAGCAGACGAACTTGGATTTGTTAAATTCAACGAGATTTATTATATCAGATATCTAATCGATGACCAGGTATGTAATACGTACCCATGCATTGCGTTACACGTAAGACATGGGTTCGAATCTCGGGGAAACAATAGATTGTGTATGACGATAAGGGTACAGAAGTTTAATCAAGTACTTGCTTGTAAATAAAACCGATTAATGAAAGGGACACATATATGTGTTCCCCGAAGCCCGTCTAACATTTATTTTATATTTATCTTGATAGAGTGAAAAATATAATTCGTAACTCTTCTGTATGGTATTAAAAAAACTATTTTATCGTAAGTCCTTTAATATATCCACTTATGTTTGTTTTTGGGTTCGCTTTTTAATATATTTGTTTATATTACAGATAGTATTTTGGGATACCGGCCTTGGTAATTATGGCGCAGCGTTGATGGGATACAGGGTACCATCAGTTGAAGAGCCAGAGGAGATACAACCGCAGACGTCCTCTCGATTCAACGTGCAAGTCGCGAATGAGGAGGAAGATGAATCTTAAATAAATTTATTATGAAATATAGAGTTTTATTGTAATTCTTCCTAAGACATAATTTAGTTTCAAACCATAAAAATAATTAATATTGCAAAAGACATATTTGCCGTGACTGTAGACACGTGACACGGCTGCTGCAAAGCATCCGAAACGTCGGGCCGAAGTTAAAAATCATTTTCAAATAAGTTTCACTAATATATCGCGTTTAAAACCGTTAAAGTGTTTTATTTAAAAGATAGACATATACAATCGCGGACATTTTTTAGATCATTGAAAGAGGAATCATTTTTTGACACATATTTTTTGAGGTATCTTGTACCGTTTTCACAGCGTACACGACAGGTGAATTATTTTCACCGTTTTCTGCGATTAACACAAACGCACAGGCAAACTGAAACGATTTACAAAAAATCATTGTTTTGATAAAGAAGAATGATTTTAAAGACGGAGATACTGTACATTTTTATTATAAGTATATATGTATGGTAAGTGAAGATATATGAGATTTAAATTACAGAATTTCATAAATGTACTACAACTATATAAAATTCCAGTAAATAATTTAGATATTTTTATTATCGTTTTGATGTTTGTTAAAAGTAATAAATAATGCTAGTAAAAGAGGTATTCGGTTGGTCGTCAACTCTTCACTGCATGTTCACGCAGTCCCGGCTTAATGAGCAACACTAAAATTTAACTCACGACCGTTGTCACGCTCCACCTGTAGCTTTTAATGGCCGGGAATGGGGCTTGGGCCATGAAAATGGCGATCGCAAGATTAATATTTTCAGCTATGTATGGCTGAATATCTAATAGTTCCGTTCAATTTGTATTGTGTCGTATTTGTAATAGTCTACTTCAAACGTTAAGCGTTCGTTTCATTACTGAAAACTGGCGTGGTCTTTACTTTCAGGCGCAGGAGTGGTGTTCGTTTTTGTGCTATTTTTGTATGAGGTATAAATTATTAGCATTGTTTTTGCTATTTTATGATAGAGAAAGGCAGACAAGCTAGGGGTTCTCTTGATGGACGATAAAAACCCAAGCTAAGCACCTAAGCAATATACTGTTGATCAATTTGGCTTTATTGCACTTAGCTAAACGTTATACAATTGAAATTGGGGGCGGTTATTTTAAGTAAGATTATGAATGTAAAAATTTAAATTAGACTAAATTGTATAAATGTACAGTAATTATATGAACAAAGACCTGACGAAGTTTATGACCGTGGATTCAAAATAGTTCGGCTTATAGAATCATAAATTTTATGCGGACTCCGCTGCTTTTATTGCAAGGAAACATAATTGGTCTTCGCGTATTCAAGAAACGCCTGATGGCAGAATGTCAAGACTCAAGTCTCAATTACGACAACACAAAGCATTTAAATAAAACACTTTAACAGTTTGAAACCGCGATATATATTAGTTGGTCCCCCGTGACCAAAGCTGCTACAAAGCAACCTAATGCGGGCCGTAGTCAAAATAATTTTCAAATAAGTTTCACTAATATATCTAAGTTTTAAACCGTTACAATGTTTTATCCAAATCGTTTTTAATCAACTAGCATATGCTTAAAAATAGAGACTTATGCCTTTCATGGCCGCATACGATAAGTCTATACCAACGACGAGGTATTCACTGTCAATTTGATGTCCGATGACCCGTTTATGGGCTATAAAATTTCTTTTCAGCACTTGTGAATATAAAGCACTATGCGGCCATAATACGGATTAATACTAGTAAAATCGGCATTATTTGTTTTAATAATATTAAGTCAACGAAGCGGAAAATAAGCTATTGTATTTTCTTTAAAATTTATTTATGAGTAGTATTAAGTAGTACATGAAGCTGGTAGAGGCAGAATGGCCTAATGCCAAAAAACATGATTTTCAATAAGAAGGAAAATAAAAATGCGCAATTAACTTAGGCGAAAATGTATTTGTACTGTTATTTGTGTAAGAAAATTGTACAATAGTCACTACGCTCTTAAAGATTAATAAAATTTTTCGACTATATTTGCATTTAGGTTACTTTGTCTCTAGCGGCCTCCCATATAACACGTTTTTAGAAAATGTTATTTATTTTGTGGTTATTCGTTCTCGATTATTTTGTATATGAGTATTTTTTGTTTTGTAAATCCTTAAGTGCAAAAAATAATTTAAAAGATATTTTTTACATATTTGTATTAGCTGTGATAAGATTTCATAATATTAATTTTATTATATAAACTTGTCAATGTAAGTTTAAAAGGGCGGCACCGCATTTCCGGTGACAGCCTCCGGTCCGGTGGAAATCGGGAAGCTGTTAGTCAATGTTTTATAATATTGTTAATTGTTTAGTTTGTGAAAATCGCGTTACGAAAACTTCAATGTTTTTATTATTCTCATTTTCGGAAAAGCGAGCACCTAACAAACAGTTTAGCAGATTCCAATTATGTTTTCGTAATAAATACATTTGGTAGAGCAACAGCAAGGAACGCTGACGATGCCCGTTCAAGTCCTGCCCGAGTCGAAAATTTTTTCAATTTATTTTCGATTTTTAAATTAAAATGTTGTTATTAACTAAAATATCATAACTGAATTCACAAACAGAGGCCATAGTAACAAGTATTCTATTTTATCGCCACGATCGCTTAAAATACGAACTTGGTAATGAGCTTCGAAACTTCCAAGAAAAATAAGTTATTTAATCAAACTTTCAACAAAATGTAGTCATGCCACAGTGCTTTTAAAATATCACAGTAGTTCTACTCGATCGATTATTTAATTCACGTTAAAATTATGCAACCACAACTTACCAAAAACATACCATATGTCTATATTATGCTCACGGATGTATTTTCATATCTTTATAAATATTTTGTAGTACAACCAAGCTATTCTTTAAATGCTATTAATATCGATTTTCATTTTATATTAAAAAATGTTAACTTTAAATCAGAATTTTATATTAGCAACTGTTCGTAAGTAAACTACATTCATTTAATCGACAAGCGAAGACAAAGACGAGCTGCAGAACAGATATATTTTAATGATGGACAAAACTTTTATCTGATAACTTTGCACCCTCCTATAATGTCGCCAAGTTGAGCTCTATCGGAGTCTCGCCGTAAATCGTTGGTACATTTATTTTGTATTTCACTGATATTTTTTACTGAAATGAGGCTGTAATTTTTTTTATTTATAAAGTATATTGGTATTTAGCATACTAACAAACTAGAAATGAAATACCGTCTGTAGTTTACGCGAGTAGTGCCCATTTCAATAGAACAGTTTAACGGTTTAAAACGCAATATATATTAGACGAATAAATTAGGAACGTCGCGCCGTCGTTAAAATAATCAAGTAAGTTTAACTAGTCGAAATAATCAAATAAGATATAGTATATATTGTATTGTATTTGGATGTCAGAGAGTGTATATAAAACGGTTTTTCTGCTATACACTACTATGGCCCCTGTTTTACTTTCTTTCCTCTATTCTGTCTTTTGTTCACGTTTAAAACATCTTATAAGCTAAGCGTAGTAAGTACTATATCAAAGTTTACGTTTTCTAATTAATTTGTCTGCTTACATCATGGTAAAAGGTTTCCCAGCCGTGGGAATTGAGGGATAGTCTCTATTTATGTTTGTAATTAATTCCTCACTTAATAAGTACCATCAAATAACGGTTAACTCCTAATACAGCGAACGTTGTTTAGAACTTCAATTACTTCAAAGGAAATTATTGAAATTCAAACAAAGCCTTCAGTTCGGTACAAATTAATCTTTACTAAGTAAATATTCAATCAGAGTTTCAGTTGCATTAGGTGATACCCGGCAGCTGCTAGAGCGAGACAGATATATATGTTGCTGCGGGGAGCGAAAGAGGTGGCTGTTAAGAATTTCATTCAAAACAAACCATTCGATATTATTAATTTACTGGCAGCACTGTACGTGCGTAAATGTAGATGTGGCATTTGTTATACTTTCTAAAAATTATACAAAGTTTAGAAGTATTCAAATTAAACTTATATGTAGAATTAAAGATGGCCGCTAAAATCTAAGATTAATAATTAATCTTAGATTTTTATTATATTAATAGCAATTATTGTATTAATATTTAATAGCAAAAATTCTTTTAAATTTACCAACCAACTTATCACAAAAGGATATCCAAATATATATTTATAAGACTATAGATGAAAGAATAACAATCATTTGCATATTGATGGGCTCCTACGAGTAATGACAGCATGTATGGCTAGATACAAAAGCGTCGTGGCTTCGATCCCCACCGGGTCACACAGTTTTCTTATCAATTTATATTTTTTCTGAGACTTCGTCTGGACACTATTAAATAGGTGGTAGGAATTTCGAAATTCCGTCCGGATCACGACGGTTGTACATTCCACAAATGTCAAAGTCGTCAAGTTTAATCGCGTTTTGCTTTCAGTCTGTGGATTTCTGAATATCCAAATCCACAATAGGTCGACAGCGAAGCTTAAATTTATGTTATATGACACCATGCTTCTCTTACCTCCCCTAACCTAAAAAAAGGATAGAATACTTCGGCATATCCACAAACAAATCTTCGTGCATCAATGTAGAAAATGAATTTCTCAATTTATGTGAATTAATCGAGTTTCGCTCGGCTGTAAATGTCTATCATTATAAACAAAACGTTTTGGTTACAAAGTCAATTCTGTTCCACCAACATCATTTCAGTAAATAATGTTAATAGACATAAACACAAATTATACACACAAATCCTACCTCGGAAAGTCATTCAGAATCTATTTAAAGATAACCGAAATAGAACAAAGATTTGGGAAGACTATACAAGCCAAGTGATTAAAGAGAATAATAACTTGACGTAGTAATTTTGCATTGTTGGTATTAGAGGTCCGTTTATAGACATTTAATAAGAGTTTCATGGATGTCGGTTCGCCGAACAAGATGCGCTATCGATCTATTTTTGCTTTGGATATTCGGAAATCAACAGACTGAAACCGAAATGCGATTATTCTTGAC